AACCGTATAGTCCGAGGCCACGGTCCATCGAGTGACTCGCCTATCCAGTGGGTTAATCCTGCTTATTGAACAGCAGCGACTAATTCACTATGGAAGTGCATCCCAAATGAAGGAAGGGACTAAACTATAAAGACTATGACTGGTATTCACAGTTGTTCTCATCGTCTTAAACTTCAGGACTACATAATGATCCCGTGGGATAGGTGTGGCATCAAGCCAGATCATCATCGTCAATGTACAGCGAAATACAGGGAAGCGAACTGGACTGATCGCTGCCAAACTCGCAATGCATATGCATTGGGGTTTGATGGACGGGTACTGCTAGGGTGTCCAGTTACTAAGAATGAGAACGAACCAAAGCCTTTAGATCTGACAATAACCTAGCCGTAAGGCAGTGGGTAAAGCGAACTAAAGGCCCATTTACTTGGATCAATTACTCCTTCACAATTTTTACCAACTGTAACGCAAATTTAGTCGAACCCCCAACCTGGAAGACCAAGAGACTGGTCTTCGTCCGACCTCCAACCTTAAACCTTCTAGACATGATTAGATCTTCGGCTTAACAAAAGCCATCCGATGTAGCTCGTTGGGTCACAGGCGCACATACCATCACACCACGTCAAAGTGCAGTCGGAATAGCAGTTTTCAAGCTACCTATCAATCTACCCTGAGAAGCAGCCAATCGAAGGACTGTTACGCGATACAAGAGAAAAGCCAGGTGGCGGTTTAGAGGATGTTGATCCTATTCGGTCGAAATCGATTATGGTAGTTAACTCAATAATTTACACACGCCTTTCTCAAGCTAGAGAGCTCACTGTACAATACTAGATTATTACTTATTTTCTGAACATTCGTTGTTGTTGTATTTCACACACGTCTGAGGTCAAACTGTGTGCGAAACAAATCACGGTACAATGATCTTTATAAGAAAAGTTCCATGATTTGTTTGTACGTGAAGTCCAGTAACGCTCTCCATTACGAATACACAAGTAGTGTTGACCTTTAAAGAAGACCGATTGATGGTCCTCTGGCTTTAAAATAATCATTGCATCATTCTCCGATTTGGATCGACATGTTGAATTCTGATGCATGCGCTCCCACATGTAGCCGTGTTGGATTGGCTCTATGGTTTATGCTTGCATGCTCAGTTCGTCTTGCCTACAAAAATGGACAAGCTTTTGTGTTTCACCACATGATCCACTATGGTGGCCACTAAATGGTGGGTTGCATTTGGGTCGATAGTATGGACGCTAGTTCTAGTCATTACTACTGCAAAATTAATCGAATTGAACCGCACGACCGTCTTCGGCAGACTATTTGGTGAAAAAGGCACGTGTGTCTTTATTTGCCTCCACAAGGGGCACAAACAGACCCGAACAACATTCGCACCAAGGATTTCCAGTTTTGAGCTGCCTCCAACTAATGACTATCTCCATTTATCTTGGATTCCAAACTGGGAAGCGAGCTGCACCCAACGAAGCCAATGCTGAGGCTAAACTCGTCATACCCGTAAGGCAGATCATAGTCTTATCGCCGTGACGCTTCTTCCAGCCTTGCTCAAAGCGCGGAAGGAGAGCACAGAGATGTAGGCGGTGGGCAGGTGAAAGCAAAACGTCACCAAGCTTTCGTAAGCGCTGTAGAACGATTTCTTCTTTGAGGGAATGGCTATCAGCAACCAACATACGACGACAAACCTCGATCGCCCGACGTCTCTATCAGACACAGGCAATCCTTTGAAGACATCGATGGTGAAGATTTGATTCATGCATCTGTATTTTCAATACGCCCTGACCAAAAGCAACATCCAATATCGATTATTTCTAACTTGTGAGACGCGGAAATCATCGCAGACTAGCTGACTTGCATTGCAGACATGAAAATAACTGACATGTGAAATGTATTGCTACAACGGGATCGCTGAATGTTGCTGGTGCCAGTATGCATATCCCTCCTCATTGCGGTGGTTTCTAAGCGACATCACCTACACATTTAGCTCAATAAAATGAACACTCATAGTGGATAGTTCAATCACACAGAACTATTAGAACCGAACAGCCGAAAACAAAAAGATATCTATCAGATGAAGTGTATTGGTATTCGCAGACGACACAACATGCAGTAACAGTCATAATAAATTGGTGAGCCTTATTGGTCTGACAAATTGATAAACACGATGAGACAGAACAGAAGTAGTCAGTCAGGGCGGGTAGATAGGAAAAGAAACCGACGGCTGGGTTATTATGCGTCTGGGGAAATCCGGACACTTGGAACGGGTCCTTTCGGCGACACACCGGCCACAACTCCCCGGAATGGAGTGAATATAGTGAACTGCACAAAATAATTGCATAGCGAACACGCAACGACGTGGATTGTTGGCTAATGAGGGAATCGAATCACAGACACCAACCAGGAGAAAAGATGGCCAGTGAAGAATAGAATAGGAAATGGATGCATGTGCAGTTGGGAAGGAAATAGCCACAAAAGGGGTCTTATGAGCCCATTTTGGCTCTTGCCACCTGAAAAAAGAAAGAGGAAATCATGATGCAGATAGCACATTACCTGCTGTACAGCATGAAACCATTAAACAAGACTCTTAGAACAAGAGAAACTTAAAATCTATCGTCAACGTTTCTGTCAAGGCACCAGATAAGCGTAATGTTTTGGTGATTTCTTCCCAAGTACCCAAAGTCTGCACTTTTTGGTTATTGGCGGGGGAAAATTACACATCAAGTAAATCCCTATAGAGTTGACACCTCGTTTATCCTGCACTCTGTACCACGATTCAGACCACGGATTCAGATTTCGCGGAAATTGCATTACACACCCATCTATAAAATAACGTAGCAACCTATCCCATCGTACTTTATGCAACTAAAAATCAACGACTTCGGTTGCTCCTACGGACTTCTCCTGTTATCGACAGTTCAACCTCCGGTAAGTTAGATAAAAACATCAATGAAGTTTTTCCGATGACAAGCGACACAGTATTTCTGTAGGAAGAGTTCTAATTTCAAAACAAACCAATATACCATTACTGCTTCAATAAAAAATTCAACATTTTCAGAAAGATAGAGACAGAAAAGCTGTTGGATCTCTCTATAAACAGTTCTGTTGTGAAGATGTTACGCATTATATCATTAATGGACTCACCCCCCCCCCATCTTGAAAAGAGTGAGGGAAGCCAGTTCGGTCCAGCTGCTTTCCCTTTATTCAGGGCCTGGATGTAAGATTGAACTTCTTCTGCAGTAGGAGGTTCACATGACACTGCCCAAGGAGCCTCAGCTACAACAGACAATATAGCCTGGTTAGCACCTGGCCAGCTGAGCTGCTCGTTGACGTACTCCGCCTACCTGTTAAGCCGTTGTTCCCTATTGTGAATACCTTGTTCACTTTTGTTGCAGATTGCTTCACCAACCTCCCGTGTTGCGTATCAATTGGAGCAGTCTTTATTCTCTGCTGCAGTTGCTACTTCCATTTCACTAGCTATCGTTGCCCACCACTTTTCACGGTCTTTCTTGAGGTTCTTTGTGAGCTGACATAGCAGACGCCACCTATCCCTGCTTTGATCTCGGGCGGTTGGAATTTGCCGCTTTTTCTCCACCAGTGCTACTGACTGATCAGATATTCAATGCCTCGGATGGACTTGAAGCTCAGATCCACAAGTAACCCTTGCTGTGGAGTGGATTGCTCGTGGAATCTGATCCCATTGTTCATCTACACCCTTCACCCCGCAGTGCGTTTAGCTCTTGTCTTAATTGTTTCAAAACGAGCACGAACGGCTGGGTTGGTATGAACGATAATCTGCCAATCGAGTTTGGTGGGGTTTTCTGCGACTAGTGAGTTGGAGAGTGAAATGCACTAAGACTAATGCGTGATCAGATTCAACGCAGGTGGTCTAATAGGACCTACAGTTTTGTACTGAGCCACGCCAACGGTAGCTTACTGCTATGTGGTCTACCTGAGTTGGCGTGCAGGTCGAATTGGAGGGCCACGTTGAGAGCTGTGTTGGAAGTTGGTACTGGATAGGAACAGATGATCTGCGCAGAACTGAAGAAGCTGATTGCAATTATTTGTTTGCTGGTAAGGCAGAGCACAATGACCGCCTAGGTAAGCTCCCACTGCTCCACTGAGCTTCGGCTCAATCCTCCACTACTCACATGAAGTAAGTAGTTAGGTTGTGATTGTTTCCAACCGAGTCATAACACCTGAGGCTAGTGCTGAGATGAGCGAGGTCCGTGGCCTGCAACAAGCTCGCAAAGGTGGGCTGTACTATATCGTGTCAATGAAGAATGAAAAACGGTCTGACCAGCTGCCCAGTGGCCGAGTGGGTAGTACGCTTGCGTTCTACCCATGAGGTCCCGGGTTCGATTCCCAGTTGGGTCGATGGATTCGTATTGCTGATGAGACCTAAACAGGTCGAAACAGCTGTCCAGCGCTTCCTAGCTTTTCAGATCACGCTTCATTTTACATAAACACGACAAATTTCCCCTTTGAAATATACATATATATACATATTTTATAAGTAGTAGTAGTAATAAGTAGTATGTGAATGACTGGACAAAATTTCCCTGGAAGCACACGACCGGTTTCGCGGTTCTTGCCGCTTGTCAGGCATGCGTACCCGGTTATTGTTTGTCAGTTCATTCGTACCTAGGAAGTGTATTTTCATAACAATAACCTTGTTTGCAATACCGGGTGACTATTAAATAGACAGCTCTTTCAGAGCCAGTCCATTGAAGAATCAATGCTATGATTCGAAGTTTTGTAAGTAGGTTAGATGCTACTAACCGCAACAAACGTAACCTGATGGTCTTTGTAGAATATTTGATAATAAGTATATATATAAGTATATGATAATATAAGTAATAAGTAAGTAGATAGTAAGTAATAATATATATACAGCCGGAACACAACCGCAGCCAAACAAGCTTATTTTTCACTCTTAGGGAACAAGTTACAATCAAACACCACCTGAACTGAGGAGTTAGATATAAATATACTCATGAACTCACTTGCATGATGGAAATAATCACTCCAAACAGCCCAATGATACTGCCAAAGATTTCCACGATCAAGATTTTCACGAATAAGTTCGCATTAACCGCGTCTGCCAGCGCTGCACCGGACCCGACAACACCGACGCATACACCGCATATCAAGTTGCAAAATCCGACCGTGAGACCACCGGCGAAAATCGAGTAGCCGGCCCGGTGAAAATTCCTGATCATTTGCGGTGTAGCTTGGTTTTGGTCAAACGGCTATTCAAATAAACGGTTCCGTTAGTGAGATCAGAGGGGAGCAGACGGAAATGTACAACCAATGGATGTAGGTAATAACTTCAACAGAAAATTCGCACAGATAATCAATAAATTGAAGCGAAACCAGGTGTATTTGGAGCACTTTGATGTTCGTGTTTATTCTGTGTAAATCCGTAAAACAGTGAGATGCACAAGAATAGAGAGATAGGGTCAAGTGTGGAGGAGGTTCAGTGTTAGTCAAATCCAGGTTACACACGACCATCGGTTGCAAGGTGCTGACTGACGATAGTCCAGTGATTTACACAATACACTACTACATCTAGAAATGACTTTTGCGAGCATAAAATAGAAAACTCCGTAGACAACAGATCTGGGGGGGTAAGATAACAGCAGGCCTAGCAACACAAAACTCAAGATTAAATAAATCTAGCAATTGTGCAATAATATATTGTATCCCCCCAGATGTCACACATGTGAAATGATGAAGGTCGTATTTTTCACGACTTTGAGAAGTTTGTTAATTTGATGGGACTATTCAAGATCAGCGGGAAGAAAGATTATAGAACATGTGAATTTCTGCGGCCTTCGCCGATTCAATCCTTCATACGGACTTTCGAAAAGGCAAAGACTGTGTTAATTGAACCATTGCCTTTCTGAGCCACGTCACACACAACGCATACTCAGGTGGAGTATAAGGAGTTGATAACCGACGTGGTAGTTAACTGCCAATAAATCTACGTTCACTAAATAAGCTGTGACAGATTATCAACGGTGATGTACGTAGTGGGGCTTTGCCTGGTTAACGCTGTTCACTATAAAGCACCACAGTCTGTCTGACACTGCGACGTAGCGACCGCGGTCGGCGGATGAATAACTTCACTATTCCTATTTTGCTGCATCTATCCAGGATTTTCCAAGAGGCGAATGAACTGCGCAACGGGCAACCAACTCATCTTGTACGCTGAAGTTAGAGATGAGGTTACAGGTGACACCGCACCAAATGGGTGGGCGAGGTGTTGTTAGCTTACCTACTAATCTGAACTGATCGACGGAGCGGTAATGCTAGAGAGCATTTTGTGCCATATTCTCAAGAAATTATGAATGATACCAACGGAGCCAACTTACCCTCCGGCAGATGGTCGAGTAGAACTCAGTACACATCACCGACAGAGGGTGACAGTATTCTTGAACATAAAAATGTAAGACTCCGCTTACTGTTTTCCCACCGAGACGATTTTGACAATGGTCGAACGCAGAGACGTCATTATATATATATCCAATGCTCGAGCGGTTGAGGTGAAATTTCGCCACAGTACGATTAATTTTGCTTCACGTTGGAGGTCAACAGATAACTTTAAGCAGGTATGGAAATGTGCTTTGCATTCCCAGCTAGACCTTAAAAGATCCAGCGATTGGTTTTCGAAATAAACTAAAGAGCACGATAGCGAGCCAACCAGAAGGGCGCTCTTGCTGCTATGTTGTAGTGGGTTTGTGAGATGCGTGTACGGTTACATAGTAATGATTATTTTGGCAGCGATAAAAAACCTGCGTAATTGTGAAGCTGCGGTCAAATTAAATACAAACAGTGCTGGTTTTACCTATAGGCAGTCAAGAAAGGCAAGCATCTAATTATGAATAAATCAACCACTAGACACCATTAAAGTTAACCGTGAAAAAGGTAAAATATAGTCTATATTTACATATATCTGGAGAAAGTGGTTTTTCAAGTAGTCAAAGGAGAATACTGGACACAGGGTGATGGAAGCAAAATGCTTGATGTCCTTCCTGCACATAAAAAATCCTGAATGTTTGTCAATCGTAGTACAACCGTGGACAAACTTGATACCAACTCACAAGGATCAGGCTTGATAAGACAATAGCCATGATGATCCCGTAAATTGCCACTGCTTCGCAGAAGATGACACTAACGAGATTCTTTGTGCGAATGCGAGGCGCTTTTACAGCAGCACCCAGTATGCTGGATCCCGTGATGTACATACCCCTATGAATAGACATCAAATAAACANCAGTGAGTGACGAAGTCTAAACAAACAAAACTGATAATAAAATGAGAAATTACGAAATCACAGGATGAACAAAGACAATCAATTCGTTTCACGTTTAAGCATTTTGGGATAGCGCAACCTTAATCACACCCATTGCAATCTACACGCTTTTAATGATCCACCAACGGCGGGCTTTTTTTTTCTTCCATCGTTCTATGGGTGACTCAATAACACACTGAGCATTCACCGACATCATACGTGATCCTGACCTTGCTGATCGCTTCTTCCATTCGATTAACTCTGGTAATAATGTATTTAGAGGCATAAAAAATTGCAACACAACCCATCATCAATTACAAAACGTTTTTCTCAACTGTTGCTTTAAAACTGGGTTCTGCATGCTTACCTCTCTCTCAATAGTAAATTCCGGGTTGGGTAAACCAAACTGAATCGCTTGTATTGAAAATAAACATCGAGCATCGAGTATTGAAGATGAATGAGATGTTTCAATTGTTTGCTAGATCACTGAGATCATCATAGTAAGTGACGATAAGAAAGTGGTGATCACGCAGACGAATATTTGAGGTCGTCGGCTTTGATTTAATGCTATATATCATC